GAAGTAGAAGTAAATGTTCGCGAATATTTACCATCTACACGGACATATTGACCTCTATTAGTTAGATAACTTTTTATCCATGATAATGCACAAATGCCGAAACCCATTAATTTTAATTTATCAAGAAGGATTGAATGACTAATTTTATCAAAAGCTTTAGAAAAATCCGTGTAGATGGCATCAACCTGGCGACCACCCTCAACATTTGAGAACAAATCTTCAAGAAAAATACAAAGATTAGTAGAAGTTGATCTACCCTTGACGAAGCCGTGCTGCTCATCAATAATCTGGTTAGAAACTGCATGATAAATTTCATCATAAACGATACTTTCGAAAATTTTTGAAATACAACTAAGAATAGTTATAGGCCTATAATTTCTGACATCATTTCTCAAATTGTCCTTGAAGATGGGAACGATAATCCCCATTTTCCAACAATTAGGAAAGATACCTTTAACTATTGACCTATTAAATAATATGTATAAAGGTTCAATTAGGGTAGAGCAGCATGACTTCAGTAAAGCAGGTGGAATACCATCAGGACCTGCACTACCATTCACATCAATGTTTTTAATCTTTAATGCTAAATTTAATTTATCGATTTTAAAAGAATTTAAATCAATAGTGTCACAAATGTCGTGAAAATTAAAATTAACATTATTGTCAGTAGGTTCATAAACAGACTCAAAATAGCTGGCAAAAAGTTCAGATATTTGTTCACGTTCAAAAGCAGTGGAATCGTCCAAAGACATGCAATTTGGAATTCGTTGATCACTCTGATTAGATTTAACATATTTCCAAAAGTTTTTCGGGTTATTTATGATCGATTTCTCCGCATTACGAATGTAATCATTGTAACACGTCCTAGCTAATGTTTTGCACTGAGAGCGAAGAGTGGAGAATTTAAGATAATTTGCCAAAGTTTTTGATTTCTTATAATTAAAATGAGCAGATTTTTTAGCAAGAGTTAAATTTTTAAGTTCACTATTAAACCAAGGCTGAAAATTCGAAGAATAAATAACTTTCACCGGAACAAAAAATTCAAAAGCAGAAAAAATGTAATTGTAAAAAATATCCACAGCGCTCTCAATGTTAACATCAGCTAACAAATTTGTCCAGTTAACATTACCAAGATAAGCATTTATCATATCAATGTTAGCATTCTCAAAATCATATTTTATACTGAAATCACGCGAATTTCGAGGTTTAATAACATTAACATCAAATTCAATTAATAAGGGAGGATGATAATCATCCACCGGAAGTAGATCGTCATTCGCCAAATTAATACAAAAATTCCCTGAAATTTCGAAATTTATTATTTTATTTTAAAGAAATTTGGAAACACAATTATACAACTTTGGCGAAAATGAGAAAAAGAATTGTCAAAATTTGACACGTCATAAGATTACTATTCAAAAAAACACGTGAAATCAGAAAAGGCCAACTTCAAGTTAGGACAGAAAGACAGACCAAACATTTTATTATTATATAATTATTTAATTAATTTTTTTTACAGAGAAATTTTGACAAAAAAAATTATTTTCTCATCGTGATATTTTATTTGGGCCACAAATAATTTTTTTACTGAGAAAATTTTAAAATAAGTAAATTTCTCATCGTAATATTTTTTTGTGATACGTACAATTTTTTTGTTAAATTTTTTTACAGAGAAATTTTTACAACAAAATTATTTTTCATCGTGATTTTTTTTAAAAACACGAATTTTTTTTTGAAAGAAAATTTGAAAAAAAATTATTATTTTATCATTGTGATATTCTTTTGTGCTACGAATAAATTTTTGGTAAATTTTCGTAGTAAAAAAAACAACGATTTATTACGGTATTTAGTGAATTAATTGTTTTGGAGAGAAAATTTGACAAAAAAGTTATTTTCTTATCGTGATAATTTTTTTAGGCCACAAAATATTTTTTTTACAGAGAAAATTTAAAGATAATTAAAATTCTCATCTTGATATTATTTTTGTGCTACAAATATTTTTTTGTTACATTTTCGTAGTAAAAAATTAAGTAACTAATAATTACCGTAAAACAGGGTTATTTCCCTCAGTGCGGGTAAAGTCGCTCACCCATTTTTTTGCTTTAAATTTGATTAAAAACTAAAATTTAGTATTTCTATTAACAAATTTAACATTTTTACCTGGTAATAAATGTATTAAACTTTATTTTAAAGCTGAAATAAAGCATAAAAGTGGGTGAGCGAATTTACCCGCAATGAGCGAAATAACCCCGTTTTACGGTACGTTATTTAGTTAATTAATTTATTTACAGAGAAAATTTGACAAAAAATTATTTTATCATCGTGATATTTTTTTTGAGCTACCAATAAATTTTTTACAAATAAAATTTAAAAAAAATTATTTTCTCATGGTGAAATTTTTTCTGTGCTACGAGTAATTTTTTTTGTTAATTATATTCTCATCGTGATATTTTTTTAGGTCACAAATAATTGTCTTGAAAAAATTTTTTTTACTACGAAAATTTAACAAAAAATTATTTTTTAATGGTAATATTTTTTTTGTCCAACAAATTTTTTTTTTGTCAAATTTTCGTTAAAAATAATTAATTAACGAATTATTAAGTATGAAATTATGTTATTAATAATTATTTATGACATTAATTATTTATTAAGTTAATTATTTGTCATATTTAAAATAAAATAAAATATCTAATAAAATCAAATTTTTCAAATGTTTCCGCGCTGCGCTGATGGCTCAGCTCTGGACTTAAGTTCGCTCAACGCCACAGGGAGGGCGAACATCATAACTGTTTCTCGCAGTTGAGGTGCGTTAAGATTGGTATATAAGCAGTGATCGAAAATTTTTTTTTGTCGAAATTTTTTTCTGCCTGATGTCTCTCCTTTATTGGATTTGAGACAAATTCTTTTTTGGAAGAAATGGTTTCACTAATATTTTGATGACCATTTTTTTATTTTAATTTAAATATTAAAAATAAAATAATAATAATAACTATTAAAAAATAATAAAAATAAATTTTTTTTTAAATTATTGATTTTTTAAATTATTATTAAAATTTTTAATATTGGATATTGGACTTACTAAATTACTAAATAAATAATATTAAAATAATTTTTGCAACATCGTAAACGACATCGTAAACGACGTAGTTTGCTATCCCGAATTCCGCTTTCATTTACGACGTCGTTTACTATGTCGTTTTCTACGTCGTTTACTACGTCGTTTACTACGTCGTTTACTACGTCGCAAACTACTTAGAATACGACGTCGTAAACGATGTCGGAATTTTCAACTGGGTAAAAAGTTACTTGACAGATAGAACCTTATCGGTACGTATTGGAAATGAATTTTCCGATATTTTTATTGCATTTTCTGGAGTTCCTCAGGGTTCAAACCTGGGACCATTCCTCTTTATATTATTTATAAATGACATTAATTTAGTCTTTAAATTTTCTAAATTTCTTTTATTTGCTGATGACTTAAAAATATTTAAAGTAATATCCTGTACTCATGACCAGGAGGACTTACAGTCGGATCTTGAGCGACTCTGTGAGTGGTCTATAAATAACAATCTATTTTTTAAAATAAAAAAATGTATCATTTCATTTCGCAGATCTGTAGAATTTTCAGATTGTAAGTACTCTATTGGCAATGATGAGCTTATCAGGGTATCTTCTATCCGTGATCTCGGTATACTGATTGATTATAAATTTTCGTTTACTAATCACATTATATATACAGTAAATAAAGCCACCAGTTTTGGGCTTCATCACCAGAAATTCAAGGCGCTTCAAAAATATTGATGCTTTGAAATGCTTGTACTTCTCTTTGGTTAGACCAATACTTGAATTTGCATCAATACTATGGCGACCTTACCAAGATGAATTTATTATTTTAATAGAGCGAGTTCAAAACAGATTTTTGCGTTTTGCTGCCAGACAAACTGGTTTGCCGTTAGACTATAATAGTCATGATTATAGTGAAATTAGACGTAAACTTAAAATACCACCAATGTCTGAAAGATTTTTGTTTTCTGATCTTCTTTTTTTATTTAAAATCATCAATGGTCGAATTAACTGCTCAGACCTGTTGTTTTTATTTGATTTCTACGTTCCGCAAAGATCGCCTAGAAACCCTCCATTATTTAAATTACCTTTCATTAAAGAAAATTACACTATAAATTCAGTGATCAACAGACTGAGCAGTGAGGCAAATCAGTTTAACAACAGCATTGATTTTTTCTATAATTCACTCACAACTTTCATTAAAAACTTGCGTATCTTAATTTTCAATGATTATAATAACAATGCAGCCAATTAATATACAATAAACATAATGTATCTTTATTGTACTCTGTACGAATGGGCTTTGCCCGTATATTTTCAATAAATAAATAAATAAAATTTATTTATGTTGCATTACGTAACAATATCATATTGACAAATCCCAGTCGAACTTATCCTAAGTTCAACCGTGACTGCTTGCCGACTTCCATCAAATCCAACCGGTCTCGCTATATTTTTCTTGTAATCCACACGTGAAAATACGTATGTGTACTAAATTGCAGTTCTTCATATACAAAAATATAGAAGTTAAGGGGGGGACACAAAGCTGGGACGGACGAAAGAATCTTTTCATAAGGGTTCCGTCGGTACACCGAAGGTGTACGGAACCCTAAAAATTAAAAAAAATTAAATACACAGACGATTTACGAAAATTTAAATTGATTTTATTTGAGATTGATAAATATAAGAAGAAAGAAAGATTTTTTAGATAAATATTAATATTTTGAAATTTGTATTTAAATTTTTTTATTACTTACATTCGGAATTGATTAGAATTGCAATCATTGAATATTTCGACAAATTTTACTTCTTGAAATTGCAGTGAATTAAAATTTTGAAAAATTGCAGGTTTCATAAAAAAAATTGTGAATAAACAAAGTAGGTGACATAAATTAAAAAGTAAAGGAGTAATTGAAAAATGTGGAAACTAAATGGAATTGATATCAAAGGTGAAATATATTTGAAAACGTGAAAAAATGTGAATAGTTAACTTCCTGCGATACTTTAAATCCTGAATATTAAAATAAAACATGCTTGTTTCATGCATTAATTAAAGCTGGAATATTCTTATATGTATATGTTATCATTATAAACCTTGGCAGTCATGTCGTTCTCAATTATTAATTTCTTCGGGCTCTGACACATTGCATTCCACTGTCCCAATATTAATTTCTCTTGAAATTTCAGCGCTAAACGCCAACCATTCATTACATCTTTTTGAAGGTAACGCTGTAAAGTATTTAATGTGGAATATTCATTTTTTCCATCATGCCAAAAATTTGTTTCATTATTATAATAAAAAAAATAAAATTTAAATTTTTATTATTAATAAAATTATACTTACAATTTGACAAGATTTAACCAAAATCTTATCCTTTATCAGAGTTCGTTCTCGGCTACGAGATTCGCGATGAATTGTTAAATCTGTATTTTTATTACTGACTTCATTATCAGTACGAGGTTCAGTAACTTCAACAGAATTCATGTCTTCAGAAGATTGAGAATTATTACAATTATTTATCTATAACCATGTTTATATTAAATTTTTCAAGTTTTTAATAAAAATATATTTATGTGTACTTATCATTTAGTGTAATAATTAAAAAAAAATAATAACCAGTAATGTAATAGGACTAATATAATTATTTCTCGTCAAAGCAGCTTTAACAATCTCACAGTCTTTGTCCTTTAAAAAAAAATTATAAAATAAAGCAGCATTTATAAGCAATTTTTAAACAAAACGTAAAAAATTAATTGTTTGACATACCCGTATTGGAATAGCACTTTGCTTTAAAGTAACTCATGACTTTGGGATTATCTATATAGTTCCATCTGGCATTTTATGTTGATAAAATGCAAGAACATCTTCATGTCTGAAGTGATCATCACAAATGACATCAGAATCATACATACATCTATTCCCAAAGAAATTTTAGACTTTTCTCTCAAAGCATGATACTAATTAGCAAAATAAAAAAAAAATTTAATATAATTTTACAATATTCTAAATTTTTAAATTATGTTTACCTTAGGTACTTTAAAAAAAACTGCGAGAAACATTATGCTTTTTCATATCGCGTGAACTAATGCTGCACTTAGAGCATTTTCTATGCATTCCTCTGTTATTCTCAAAAATAGAATTATATTTCAATTAATTACTTTATATAACATATTAAATAATTTAATCAATGTCTGTATTTAGCAAGCTTATTTTATATTATATTATTTTAGAATATTCACAATATTCTAATGGAATATTCCAGGAATGTAATTGGAATATCTCGTGTTATTCAGCAATTATCATTTTCATTTCAATTATGGTGGTTTTCCTTAATTTTTTTTCATTTTTTCGCAGATTTTCCTAGGGTGCCCACAACCACCGGGTACTACTTTTTTTCACTAAAAGTGATCACTTCACTAAATTTTTAATAAAATCTTTCCAATTGAAGGAATCAATTTAGTTTTTGTTTATACAGTTACATAAGGTCTCTAGATTGCCACTGATACACACAAGTCTCATAATATGCATTTGGTTAAAAGTTATGAGCCATAAACCCACAATCAGAACTATTCCCTTAATTAATATATAATACAGAAATTTCTTTTTTAAATATAAAAATTAACGAAAACAATATATTAGTTTTATAATATTTAAAAATTATATTAAATTATTTCAAAAAAGTTCGCGCTACTTCGATTCGGCCTGCAAAAACAACTAACTTAAAACAGCGAACAGATATCTGGTACGAGAAAATTTTTATAAAATTCTAGTTCTAATTTTAAAACTGAAAAAAATTTAATCTCAATAAATTAAAAAATTTAAACATATTTATGACTTTGTTTTTTCATCTTATATAAAATGACTAAAACAATTTTAAATATTCATCACAGAAATATGGGAAAATAAAAAACTTTCTTTTTAAATTGAGAGTTATTTTAATTAATAAATCGCTTTAATTGCTTTATTCATTTCCCACATGGTTTTCCATTATTCACTTATTTTCGTTTACATTTGTAATGTATTGCAAATAATGAAAGTTTTTAAAATATATAAAAACAATAAAAAATTGAATTCTACAATAAATCATGATATATATATAGTTATAAAATAATACTCATTGTCTCTGATTCAATCAATACAGATTGACAATTTTCTGCTTTGCAATTCACGTGATGAACATAAAAATTAAAATTCTTATAGTTCCTTAATTGTCACAATATATAAGTATTCTTAAAATTCTTTTTATGTACGATAAAGATAAGAGTCACTTTGATTTTTATTTGCATGAATTTCAAGTTCGAGAATTTCCTCACTACAATGAGGAATAATTTGTAGATTTTGACTTGATTTCAGCCAATTTCTCTCGCGTTCATGAAAATTATTGGGTTCTCCATTTATTGTTGAGCACGATGCCTGAATATACATAAGTTGGTACTTTGACGAAGGTGACTTTTGACATCTTGTCATAGTTTCTTTCTTATTGATTATTGTAGACGACGATGGTGGATATCTTCCGAAATAATCTGAACTATGTACCCTACCGGAAATAGTACTTCCACCTATTCCAACATTTTCTCCAGCTCTTGATAATTCGCCAATTGATGAACATGAATTAGAACATGCCATACTATGGCAAACAGTAGCTGAATTGGACAGCATCCCTGGACCTAATTGTTTTTGTCGCACTATATCTCTGTCGATGTAAGAGAAACCATCTGCAAGACTAGTGCCACCATGCGGCAAAAACCAAACACCGCCATTGCCAGGGCTCGCTGCCCGAAGTTCTAGCTACAGTTCCGTTACAGGAACTGGTCGATTATTGCTTGCTGGTAATTGTTGATGGGCAGAAAATTGCGGTTGAAGATAATGTTGAGATTGTGTTTCGTGATGATGATGATGATGTGTATGCGCCGCACGTACAATGTATTCTTCCTCGGAAAACGTTTTTCTATATTCATGTTCTTTTCGTGATATTGCACGATGATTCCACTTGTAATCGGTGAGAACATCACGGACTCTTCTACGAAATCTGTAGTAAAGAATAAGACCGAGTCCAAATGAGAGAGCGATTCCTGCCACACAAAGTGTAGCCAGCAACGCTTGCTTTCGGGGATCGAAGAAAGCACATCCTAACTCGTCCGGTTGCATACCCTTCAGAGGTTTACCTTGAAAAGAAAATTAATAATTACTTATAAATGCTTTTATTATAAACAAATGTTTTCCTAATTACAGTTTGGTAAAATGATCAGGGTTAACACAATAATATTATATTAATAATTTTATGAACAAGAGCGTTTAAATTTTCTTTAATAATCTAAATATGATATGTAAAAAATTGTTCTATTAAAAAATAACATCAAAATTTGTAATTTCCATATTTTTTCAAAACAATAATCTTTGTAGATCTGATGAGGATGCAGTCATATTTTTTTAACGTAAAATATACAGAAGACATCAGGCTAAACAGTACTTTAAGATCTTTTATTTAATAATATTTTTTTTGTTTTTCCCTGACTTTTTCCTGATTTCCAGTCAAAATAAAAATTTAAGTAGGAACGCCATTTTGGTGTTTTCACCAGTCTAGATGGTTAATGGCTGAAGAATGTTTGATATTTAAATTTAATTTAAATAATTCTTGTCCAACATATTGGATCCACCATTTTGAATTTTTGAATTTACCAAGGTCACATTCATAATCAGAGAACCCGAAAACGTTCGAGTAGCCAATTTCAAGTGAATTAAATTATTTTGTGACGTGAAAATATTTCTTGAAATTATTTTGAGAAATAAATGATCAAATATCTTAGGATAAGGGTTAGGGAAAAAAGGCCAGTAACTCGCCCCTGTGACCTTACATCGATCTAAGCGTCAATAGTTCAATATATTGGCGCATTGCCGAAAATCGTCGGGTCCGTTCCTCACTCTTTGTCCGTACGTCTTATTGTGTGTTGGGAGTATATCTCCTTGTGTGTATTATATCAAATTATATTGAATTATTGGATCAATTAAATATTAGAATTGTATGGAACTTTTGGATCGACGTTATCCATAATTATTATCGTATTGATTGAACGAAATTTAAGAAAAGAGTCGATATTTGATCATTATTGATCAGACAAGTAAGTGGTTAATGTATTTCATTTGATCTTTTATAATAAATTTTATATTCCTGGAAGTCGCCTAATATTTTATTTTTATATTTTGTATTTGGGTTCACCAACTTTCCTCCCTGTGACCTAAGTCTTTTGTTGATTTTAATTAATAAATTAACTGGCGTCCGCGTGCAACTAAAATTATTATTTTATTTTATATCGTCAAATAGAGCCCCAGCAACTCTGAACCCGGTCGCACTGGGTGAGGAATAATTTTAACTTTGATTATTTATTCTTATTTTATTATATTTTCTCTTAATAACAAATTATTCCGTCTCAATTTTTTAAATTCTTTGTCTACCATATTAAATTCGCCTCTTTGCTAATTTTTGAAAACGAAGGTTATATTCGTAATCAGCGACCCCAAAAAACCCCCAAGTAAACTCCTATATCTTATAGGACAAAGATTTTTGACGCGATATTTATAACATTTAGAGATATTCTAAAGCGATTTGCTATGAAAAATGTCCATCAACTAAAAGAAAGTCTTTAAAAAATCATCATTTTATTATAAAAAACGTTACATAATTTGTTTATTTATAAATTTTTGGTTGTTTAGAGCAGGCCATTCGATAGAGCGACTATCTTCAAAAAGTCTTAAGAAATGTATATTGCCAAATTTTTCTCAAAGCGTTTAAATATTGAAAAATGTCTTTAAACTTCTTGTAAGAATTTTATATATTTCGTTTTTAATGAGATAATTTCATGAAAATAATTTTTGTTAGAAAAGAAGGATGTTAAAAATCCAATTTTTTGCTAACGAGAACAATTTTTCTTAACTATTAGAAATTATTCTTTGACACCTAAATTTTATAAAAAACGTAATCCAAAATCCCAAAACACTGGGTAAAATCCAAAATGGCGAATTCAAAATGTTTGACAAAGATTAAACTAAATTTCAAAAAGTTGAGCTAAGCTCTTGAAAACGACCACTTGGAAGTTTTTGGGAACGCTGATTATGAATTCGATGGCAGTTTTTAAAAATCCAAAATGTCGGATCGAATATGGCGGATAAAAAAAATTAATTTCATTGAATTAAATCTTGTCACTCAGGAGTTTTCAGGGTCACTCATTATGAATCCGATGTTAATTTTAAAAAATTCAGATCCCATACGGCAGATGTTACATCTGGTCATTTTTTCCGACTTTCTTTTTTTTCTCTATATTTAATTTTTTCCACGTTTCTTATCTTCTTAAGAAAAAACAACATCTGTTTATTTAAACAATAATGTTATTTCTTCTTATTCACCGACTCATAATGTATCTGTTTTTTCTCTTATTTCATTTTTTAAGCAGATAATGAAACGTGAAACCTTAGTGGTCAACATATACAGAATGCACTTTTTCTAAAAATCTAAGAAACTGAAACATCCATAAGCAATAAAATTATAAAATACAACCATAAAAATCTTTTCGGAACTCTACCAGTGCATCCTCCAGATGTCGACCGCTGGGGTCCTTTTCCTTTCATTTTCGTTTTTCTTACGACAGGTCCGAGAGTCCCTGTCGCCAAGATTTCCTTCTGTTTGTAATAAAATTTGTATAGGTTCCGAAAATATATATTATACTAAAATTCACACACACTTATATAGTATGAATGAATGCATAAAGTATTTTAGAAATAATATAAATTTTTAATAACAATTAACTTTAATAATTAATTTCATTATTATTATTAATAAATAATTAAAATGTTATTTTTCAACAATTTATATTAAATTTTAATAAAAACTAGTAATTGTCGAAATTTATAATTAATTATTGTTTAAAATTATTAATATAAGTAAAATTAATAATAAAAATTATAAAAAATATAAAATTAATAAATAAACAATTAAAATTTAATACAATTTAACAATAATTAAATTATATCTATATTTAACAATAAATAATTATAAATAATTAAAATTTTAAATAATTACAACTATAATTTGTAGGTTAGGTTAAGTTATTATACAAATTAGTTAAAATTAACAATAATTATAAAAAATTATAAATAAATTAAATCTAAGAAATGAATTATTCTTAAAAATCGTCGTAGAACCAAAATTCAAAAAAGGTCATTTAAATTAAGTCAAATAATAATTTATAATAATAAATTATAATAAAAATTATTATTGATTATAACAAAAAATTAATCTAATTGTAAAAAGATGCAAAATAAAAAAGATCTCCCCTTCTTTGAGATTTTATACCTACTTTTTGGAAATTTGTTTTTTAAGGGACAACCCACAAAAAGTCTAAATTTTGAGTGGAGATAGACTCTTAAAAACGCATGTTTGCGTAAGTCAGGAACTCATTCAAAAATTTTACACACTGAGAAAAATGTCAGCGCTGGGTTACGATCCGTTTGTAAAGTTATAAATGATTTTTTTAGTAAAGTTACAACGTTAGACATCGTAAGAAAATCAGAGGTTAGGAATACAGCGACGTCTGACGTTATAAAGTTGCAATATTTTGAACAGAAACAGTCCGTTTTGTAGCTTTACAATGTTAGACGTAGTCCATTTTTCGTGTCATGTTGGACGTTGTAAATTTACAAACGATCGTAAATTGACAATCGTTTGTAAAAATGCAAACTCATTGTAAATAAGCTAATCTTTAGTAAATAAACAATATGGCTTGTATGAATACGTGTTCATACAAGAATTTATAAAGGGCTGTTCGAGTCCCACGAACACTCGCGCATGACAAATAAAAGCGAAAGCCGACGCCACGGTAGTAAAATTCATATGACAAAAAAATAGTCATCTTTGTGTGATCATAAGATGCTGTGCAGTGGAGATTTCTAATAATTAATAGACAATTAATAGGGTAAGTACATGTCCACTATTTAATATTTTTTAAATAACAGTGTATTAAACTTCCTATAACTATATTTTTTCACTTTGTTTTTTTACAAATTTAATTGATTTTTCTTTTTCAGAATCATAATTCCATTCAGTACCGTGGAAAAGAAAATCAATACGTTGCTTGTTAATTATAATTAAAAATTATAATTTTAATAAAAAATTATTTTATTAACATCTGAGTTTTATTATTAAGAATATAAAAAATAAATAAAAAAAATCTAACCTCTTATTTGAAAATCTCATTCTCATATTTGTCTCTGCAATTTTATAAAACGTTGGTAACTTTACAAAACATACCGTTTTTTTACAAACCGTTATTAACTGTACGAACATAACGTATCTTTACGTACAGTAGTTAATGTACGAAACATATCGTATCTTTACAAACCGTTAGTAATTTTGCAACGTCTAACGTGGTCCATTTTTCGAGTCACGTTGGACGTTGTAAAGTTACGACGGCATTTTTCTCAGTGCAGTCATTCAAAAAGTTATTCAAAAATTCTATCAACAAACTCTAAAGAGTCATTTTCAAATTCTTCTAAAAAAGTTCAACATTATAATTTTCCAAAATTTAAAGTTATTTTACAAGTTATAAAATTTCAATTTCTTTAATTAAAAAGTTATTCTGAAAAAAGTCAATTATAAAATTTTACATTCAGTGTCAAGTTATTTTCTGAATTTAAAATCTTGTTTAAATTCAATTCTTCAATTTCAACATCCAATTCTACGAGTTCCTGTTGTTCTGAGCGCTGTCCAACCAACCAATCTTTACATTTTAAGAAGGACGACTCCTAATTTTGCATTTTATTAATTGAAAATAAAAAAGTAAGTTTATACTTAAAATTTATTATTTCTTTCTTTTTCAATTCTTAATTTTACCCATCTCTCAATTTCGATAAATTTCGTGCTATGGTGCGCGATATTTTATCTAATTCCAAAATTATAAATTTTTATTTTTCATAATTATTGAAAACATTTCCGAGAAATTTTAGTGCTACCAGTGCTCAATTATTTTCTCAATTCCTTTTAAAATCATTTCCTAACCTTCTTAAATTTTTTCTCAACAAAAATCCAATCGAAAAGATTCCCAAGTTATTGGACGAAAGTCTAGACTTAAAAATTAATCAATTATTAAATTAATTATGTTATATCTCCTGATGTAACACAGATTTTGTTTTATTCTATGGATTAATAGGAAATTTTGTACTCTAGAGTTTTTTTGGGTCGCTGATAAAAAATTCAAATTTTTTGAAATCTTTAAAGAAAGTTTAGTTTGATAAACTTGAGATGTTTTTTCTATTGAGTAAGCCTTGTGTAATCAGGAAGTTTTGTCATATTTTGAGTATCTCTTATCTATTTGAGATAACTATTGTTTATTATTTTCAAAATTGATTTGATTCCTTATAGGATTTAACATGGAATCCCATGGGTGAACAATTTCAATTTCCCCTATGAGCAATTTTCCTCAGCGTTTTGGGATTTTGGATTACGATTTCTTAAAATTTAGGTGTAAAAGAATAATTTCTAGTAGTTAAAATATTTTTTTTTGTTTTAATTTATTTTAATACATGTGTTTTAAATTAAATAAAAAAAACCCAACATCATTTTACTGTACCGTTTTCTTAAAATAAATTATTGAAATATAGACTCTATTTTTTAAGTGCCCTGGATGATGTTACCCCTTTACCCCTTCGCAATCGAGGCCAAAATCTCATAAGTGGGCCCAAAATGTCAGTAACTTTTTGAATGACCAAAATTTGTGCAAATGTGTATTTAAGTCGCTGATTACGATTCCAAAGTCAGATTTTAAAAATTCAAAATGGCGGAGCCAATATGGCGGACGATTTTTCAAAAAATGGCAAAAATGATTTAAAAATACTCAAAAATTGTTACTCTCGGGTTTTTGGGGTCGCTGATTACGAATCTAAAGTCACATTTCAAAAATTCAAAATGGCGGAGCCAATATGGCGGACAATTTTTTTAAAAAATGGCAATAATGATTTAAAAATACTTAAGAATTGTTACTTGGGGGTTTTTGGGATCGCTGATTACGAATCTAAAGTCAGATTTCAAAAATTCAAAATGACCGAGCCAATATGGCGGACAATTTTTCAAAAAATGGCAAAAATGATTTAAAAATACTTAAAAATTAATACTCAGGGGTTTTGAGGGTCGCTGATTACGAATCTATAGTCAGATTTCAAAAATTCAAAATGGCGTTACCAATGTGGCAGATAATTTTCTAAAAATTTAAAAATTAATTAAAATTACTTAAAATCTGTTGCTCAGGGGTTTTGAACGTCGCTGTTTACGATATTCAAGTCAGATTTTGAAAATTCAAAATAGCATAGAATGGGTGTGATTATTATTGTATCCATTTTGAATTTTGAAATTTTGTAATTCTGACATCAAATTCGGAATCAGCGACTCCAAAAACCCCCGAGTAACGAGTTTCAAGCGAATATGGTCAATTTTCAAAATTTTTGGTCGCCATATTGGATCCGCCATTTTGAATTTTGTAAATCTGACATCAAATTCGGAAGCAGCGACCCCAAAAACCCCCGAGTAACAAATTTTAGGCCAATTCTGTCTTATTATTGGGCTCAAAATTTGTGTGTGTATACACGTCATCGACACTTTGAGCCCACCTATTCCATGACGTGTATACACGTCATCGACACCCAAGGGGTTAAGAAAGTAGGAACTTACGTTTATTTGGTTATTAATAAATATAGCCGATTGAATGATGATAAAACTCAATGTAAAATTTAATAATATCAAACATATTGTAATGTACTTAGTTAATGAAAGGTTGCCCGTTGAGTCCATTGCTTTTTAGTTTATTGATGGCAGACCTGGAGGAGAAGCTGAGGGGGAGAGGTAAAGGGGGGGTGGTACTGGGAAAAGGTAGGATTTACTCGTTAGCATATGCGGACGATATTGTGTTGCTGGCAGAGTGTGAGAGTGGGATGAGACTGATAATGAGAGAGTTTGAAAAGTATGTGTTGGGTAAGTATCTGTGGGTGAATGTAGAGAAAACGAAGGTTTTAAGATTTAGGAATAGGAAAGGAGGTAAGGAATAAGTATGGAAGTTGAATGGAAAGAGTGTGGAAGAGGTGGATGAGTTTTGCTATTTGGGTTATTGGTTTAAATGGAATGGGAGTCAGGAATTGCATGTGAGAAGAAGGTTGGAGAAAGCGGGTAAGATTTTGGGGTAAGTATAGGGAATTGGAAAAAGGAGGTTTAAGAATGACTGGAGAAGAAGGATGTGGTTGTTTGATGTGCTGGTGTGGTCTATAATATGTTATGGTGTGGAAATTTGGGGATGGAAGGAAAGAAAGAGAGTGGAGAGCATGAGTGAAAGGTATATGAGATGGACGATGGGAGTGAGTAGAAGTTGTCCGGGTTATATGCTTAGGGAGGAGCTGGGTAGGGAAAAAATGTTGGTAAGGCAAAGGAGGAGGGCTTGAGGTTTTGAGGAGAAGTTAAAGCAGGGAAGGGGGAATCAGTGGACTCAACGATGCAGAAAAATGGTAGTGGAAAGGGAGAGTAAAGAAATGTCAAAATGGGAGGTTTAGAGAGGAGTGGTTTTAAAAGAGGCGAGAAGGGAAGGTAGGGGTTGGTATTGTTTGGAGGGAAACTGGAAAGAGATGGATAAGGTAGAAAGATAGCAAAGGATACTAAGGTCGAAGTACAGCATATGGTACAAGATGGTGAAGCGGGTTGGGGTGCCAAAGTATCTTGATGGCAAAGGAAAGGAGTCAAAGTGGAGTAGGATGGTTAGATTTAGAATGGGTGTGGAAGAGGAATGAATGTTTGGAACGATAATTGGGGAATAGGTGAGGTAATTAGTTCGATTTTGGATGAAAGCGGACAAGGTGTGGCATGGATGGAAGATTTGGATGAGAGAAGGAAGAGTGTGCAGGGAAATTAAATATGGGGTGGGCGTAAAAATCTAAATTTCTTTTCTTGTAAGGGGAATTTTCGAGAAAGCCAAAATGTGCTAAAAAAAAACAGGAAACGGAAGCCCAGGCAATGGAAAGGGAGAGAGAGAATTTTTGCGTTCTTGCGATAGTTTTAAGGTTTTTTGTATTAGTTTTAAGTTTATTGTAAGTAGATTATAAGAACAATGTAATTGGATCCTCGAACCCTGCTATGCAGGGAGAAGAAATGAAATTAAAATATTGTAATGTACTCATACCTTTCATATTCAGAGGTTCCACACACAGCACAGGAGAAGAGTTCCTGGATACAAGAACTTCAGCTAACCAGAGAATTCTACAATCACAAACCAACGAATTCTCAGCTAGGTCTAAATGTCTGATCTCATTCCATGACACCAAGGATTCAGAAAATCCAGTAAAAGCATTATTTCTTAATAGTAAATGTCTTAGATTAGGTAAACCAGCCAATGCTCCATCTTGCATGTCACTAAGAAGTTTATTGTTATTAAAAATTAGTGTTTCGAGATTTGGATTATCAGAAAATGCTGCTTTTTGAATAGTAGTTAGCATTTTGGCTCCAGAAATATCGAGCTTCTTTAAATTAAATAGACCTTGAAAGACTGCTGTCTTTAAAACATTAAACAAATTTTGGCCTAATGTTAATTCTTCTAAACGAATCAACAAGCTTAATTGTTTTGTAGGGATTTCCTTCAATTTATTACCATCAAGTTTAAGCACTCGTAGTGTATTAAGGCCTTTAAATGCTTTTTCAGTGATATTATCTAATCCAGCTCGAGATACATCTAAGACAGTAAGTCGATCGAGTCCTTTAAATCCATCATCAGTTAGAGAAGTAAAGGCATTTAGGCCAATATGAAGCTCAGCGAGAGCATTAAGGGGTCCAAGAGCATTCGAAGGAATAATTCGTAGTTGATTATCATCCAAATAAAGAATTCGAAGCATGACTAATTTTTGAAATGCGTTTGATTCAACGTGGGATATTCGATTTTGACCCAAATCAATTTCTTCAAGTTTCGAAAGAGAACTAAAAAATCCATTCTTCAATGTCTCAAGATAATTGTCACGCAAGTTTAAAATTGTCAGTGACTTTAGGCCTAAAAATGTATTCTCATTTATGGAAGAAAGTTTATTGTGCTTTAGATGCAGTTCTATAAGTTGCTTTTGTGCTTCAAAGCTTCCATTTGGAATGGAAAGAAGATGATTATTTGATAAATCAACAGCTTTTAAATCCCCATAAAATTGAAATGCTGCAGCTTCAACAGCTTTTATTCTATTATCTTTCAAAACTATACGTTGAATACTTGGATTTAATGCTATCGGAATGACATCTAGATTTGCACCAATGCAAGAAACTTCTAAAGTTTCATCATCACATATGCACAGGTTCGGACAAAATGTCGCTTTCGCCTCTCCTTGTAGAAAGAAAGCAGCCAGTAACAAGGTAAAAAGTAACTTAGATCTACCGTATGAATATATCTGAAAATAGAAAAATACAAATATTATTAAAGGCATTAAAACAAATTTATAAATGTTACCAAAATCATTCTCTAGTTTAACGTCGCAATTTTAATTTCTGCTCTAGTTTTTCGTAAAAATAGGCCAAAAATAAAAATAGTGCCGTTTTTTCTCTATTTTTCCTTAAAACTAGGACAGAAATTAAAATGGCGGTGTTTTTGTTATATTTCTACGAAAAATTAGAGCAGATTAAAATGTCTCCGTTTTTGCACTGTTTCTACAAAAAACTAGAGCAGAATATTTGATTTGAATATTTGATTTTTAATCTTTTTAAACTTCGTCGTTAAAAAGTCTGTGGGGAATTTTTTAGTAGAAAAAACTTCCAGTGAGAAAGTTATTGTTCCTCACATATAAAGGAAGTTTTTTGTAAATTTTTACTTTGATTTGTTGTAAACTTTAAATGTTATTCTATTTTTAACAAAGCGCGCAGCGCGACGTAATTGCAGCTCTATCCATATACAAACAAAGAAAGCGTGAGTATTTTGCTGTTTTTGATCCTTAATGAATAATATAATATAATATTATTATTTTTATTATTATACATATTATTTTATATTATTAATATAATATAAAAGTTAACATTTTTCATGTTTCTTTATAATTATTTTTGATATAAATTAGTTAAAATGAGTATTAAAATTAAGTTGTCCACAATAAACTGCTTCATAGAACATTTATTATAAAACATAAACACATATTAAATTAAATAAAATTACATATTAAAATAACATATAATACAAAATATATAATATTTTTACATTTATTTCTGTGTCTAGTTATAATGATTTTTTATTTTAAATCTTTGGAAATATTAACATGTTGTTGGAGCAGTGGTTCAAAATTTATTACCTTATCCTGGAAATGAATCATTGTAAAAGGGGGATCTCTCGCATCTTTTATCAAAGGAGGAGGGGCTCTGAGGCCTATATTTCGCCCCCCTTGGGATTTTAATTTAAATGGTTAATGTCTTTTACTTAAGGTAGAAAAAGTAAGTTTTTATTGTTTTTAGGTGAAACGGGGGTGTTTTGGTCAAATTAACCCTTAGATTTTAGGGGTTCTTTTCAAAAATAGTGTAAAAAAATATGCAAAAAACGTTGGCCAATTGTTGGTTAATTGGCTTAAAAATCGTTCCTCGGGGGTTTTCGAGGTCGTTGATAACGAATCCGATGTTATTTTTTCAAAATTCAAAATGGCGGACTATTTTTTGAAAATCTAATGCAATTGACTTGAAAATCTTTACTCGGGGGTTTTCAAACGAAAAATTTTCTTACCTACGGAGAAATTTCGGAAATATAAAAATTCTGTTTTCTCAGATTTCAATTAAACACATATTCATAACTACATTAGTTTATGTTTAAAAAAATTGTGGCTTATAAAAATGATAAAAAATGAACATTAAGAAATATCATAATTCATTAAAAGTAAATTTATCTGACATAAAAAATAAAGTAAAAAAAATAGATAAATATTAAACTTTTTAACTATTAATATTTAATATTAAAACAATATAATACAACAAAAAATAATCATAAAATTAATTTAGATAAATAAAAATTTAGTAATATAGAAATTAAAATAAAAAAATTGGCGTATAATAATTATGAAATATAAAAAAAAATTTAATCATCGACAAAACTAGGTGTTCATTTTATGACCATTTAGCTTCCTCATCATGATAGACTTATATTCAAGATTAAAAGGATTACAACTAAAATAGCGATCAATTTTATAAATATTAGTAAAATGTTAACTTTGTATACCTCAATCAATTCGTTTTTATGCCAGGAATACAATTTTGACAAGAATTAATTAAAATTTTTATATCAGAAAAAGTTATTTTAAAAAACATAAAAAACGATTATTTTCAAAAATTCAAAAAAATGATTTAATCTATAGATTTCAGTAAAATATGAACTTTATATAGGCTAATCGACTCGTTTTAATGCAAGAAATAAGTTTTTTTTACTAAACAAAATTAAATTTACAAAGAAAAAAATATTTTGAAAAATTTTTTTTTTAATTTTAAAAAAATTGTAAAAAATAAAATGTTACGAATATATTCGGAAATCCTTGTGTCAGATTTTAGGTATTAATGATTACAATAAGCATACAAAATTTCAGGACAATCCGTTAAAACATTTCTGAGATAATTTGTACACAATATTTTGTGACATACACACACATACATCTGGACTTCATATATATTATTTCTATATGAAAATGAGTCCATATAACCCAATTTTAAAAAATCGAAAAACGTCACGAATGCAAAGCTTCCTCATAAGGAAGCAAAAATGGAACAGAAATTTCATAATATTAATTGTAGAAAGATATTGAAGAATAAAAATGCTAATAATTACATAAAATAATATATTACAATTCTAATAAATAAAGTATGTAAATAAAAATCCATACTAAAAAAATTCCATCAATAAATAAAATCTTTCATTCCATTTTACTTAACCTTCAAAAATATTATTAATAAACATTTCAAAAATTTAAACTTCTACAATTAAAACTGTAGAAGTTTAAATTTTTGAAATTTTGCTAAATGTATGCTAAAGCATACAGCAAAATAAAAATTAATAATTATTATTTATCTAGTAAAATATACTTATCTTAAATACTATTATCTTCAATTTATAATTAAAACAAATCAAAATTATTATAAAATACAATAACCTTCTAATGATATTCGAAAAAAATAAATTATAAAAAATGAAATTCTGTAATATGATAATTCTTGCTTATAAAGTTTGAGATAGGGGGTGCAAGTCTTATCTGTTACGAAATGTCGTTTAGAGTCCTTTCTGGCGGAACAGCCAATAGAAAAAGTGGATATGCTTGTGTTAGTAAATTAGCTTCGTGTGCACGGTACCCTGGAACCAATCTCAACCCTCAACATTCTCCCTTTCAAAAATCCCTGTTGCAACTTGTTCGGGGTACCTCACTGAATATTTTTCAACAAGAAAAATCAAAATCCGTCGGGCGCTTTTTTTTAATTTCAATTTTTGTGATTTTAGCGCCAAATTAAAAAAAACTGGTTTTTATAATTATTTAAAGTAAAATTCAACTTCACATGGTCAAATTTTGTTCAAGAAATTATACAAAATCATAATTCCGGTAAAAATTTTTCTGTAGAATCGAAATCTGACATTGGCTTTCGAATTTAAAGCAGAGGAATCCCAAAAAATCCGGAAAACTGTAAATATTCTAAAAGCAATCTCACTGTCGTTTTTTTCAAGTTTTCTGTGTCGAAATTTTTTTTCCGTATTAAACACAGAATTCCTTACGCCATCTACAAACAGCAGTGGTAAATTCCACAAAACTGCTGCGTTGGTTTTCGAAATATACAAATTGTTTTTTGTGAAAAAGCCAAGATTAATTGGCGCAGGCGCAAATTTCTTGGGAAAAAAACAGACTAGAAACGAATTAAAAATTGTTTATATATTTACATATTTAATAACAGAAAGCAAATTTGAATCAGAAAATTTAAAATCAGTAGAAACGTCGTAAACATACCCTAGATTTTGGTAACTTTTAAATTCAAAATTTTAATCACTGTCAAAAAAATGTTCATTCTATAATATTTTGTTTTGTAAATTTGAAAATGTAACTGTTACTTATTGGGAAATTTCGATAAATTTTGAAATTGCTCTTATTTTTATAAAATTTAACAGACAATTTGGAAAAAACGACGATACGGTGAGATTGTTTTTAGAATATTTACAGTTTTCCGGATTTTCTGGGATTCCTCTGCTTTTAATTCGAAAGCCAATGTCAGATTTCGATTCTACAGAAAAATTTCTACCGGAATTATGATTTTGTATAATTTCTGGAACAAAATTTGACCATGTGAAGTTGAATTTTACTTTAAATAATTATAAAAACCAGTTTTTTTAATTTGGCGCTAAAATCACAAAAATTGAAATTAAAAAAAAGCGCCCGACGGATTTTGATTTTTCTTGTTGAAAAATATTCAGTGAGGTACCCCGAACAAGTTGCAATAGTGATTTTTGAAAGGGAGAATGTTGAGGGTTGAGATTGGTTCCAGGGTACCGTGTGTGAGAACGTGAGTGTCTGAAGTTGCAGACCGTACATAAATGAAAATTAAACCCAATTATATTTAAAAATTTATGTGTTTTATGTGTAAATAGTGTATAGTAACGAATTGTAAAGTAATGTATCGTAATGTAAAGTAACGTAACAAATGTATAGTAAAGAAATATTGTATTCCCGCAGTTTGAAACAGATTTTCCGTTCTTTTCGCCGTTTTTAATCTCCGTTTTAGATATACTTAGAGTTTTACTCTTCGTATAATTAGAACACGAGTTTGACTCGTAGTTCACCAGAATATCGCGAATTTTTAGGCAGTATCACGATTGATTTCACGGCTCATCGCTGCGAGTTGAAGCCGATTTCGTTAATGCGCGGCTCAAATATGCGACGTTACCAGATTGATGCCGATTCTCGATTCCGCGGCTCAACGTATCGCGATAGGTGCCGACAATCGTTGCGAGAAACCGACTTCTGCGATTTATATGTACGCCTGTATATTTTTCACCTGTAAATACCGTTGTAAATAAATAATTTGTTTCAGTTTGTAATTAACCCGTTATTGTTATTATTTTTGTGGAATCAAAACGAACCCTAGCTCGGCGAGCTAAAATATTAATTCTTACGATTACAAACGTTACACGGTAAAGGGTTAACCATTTAAATTAAAATCCCAAGGGGGTGAAATATAGGCCTTAGGGGCCCTCCTACTTTATATACTCTTCAGGTAGTTCAATGCCAAAAAAAGAAATGAATTATGATTTAAGGGTAAAAATATGTATCGCACGCATATTTGGCCCTGGCGCAAGGAACGGGATAAGCAGCGAGAATGCAAGAACTAATCTTTTACGCTGAGTTGTGTAAAAACATGCTCTGACATTTTTCAACTTATCTACCTACACACCTGTCTTTAATGAAGAAAAAGTTGGTCCCCGATGCCAAAAAAAAATCTTGAATATTTTGAATCTCTGTACCCTAAATAAACAAAATTTCAAAGATTTAAAATCGTAACCGATTCCCCTGAATGATTTTTTATGAATTTATTGTTTTTTATGCATTATAATGAAAAATTGCTTCATTACGATGTGCAGATCAGTTGAAATTACTAGTGCAATTTTTTTATACTTATTAAATGTAAAAATAATAATAACAATAATACATTACTATAATTTTTGGGAATAAAAGTTAAATGATCAATATTGTAATTTTAAATCCGTACTGTCAACAAAAATAATAAGAGAGTCTTTTCCTTAGAACATTAGATTATCCGAATTTTCTATCATTTCTTATTCTTATTAATATACGCAACGTTAATTACTGCTATTGCAATTTGTATTAAAAAAAAAATTAGTTCAAAGTTTTGTAGATGCAGTTGATTTATTTTTAATCTATTTAAAAATGACTTATTACTACAAGTTAAATTACGCGTGTTTTCATGATTGAAATATAAAAAAAATTGTGCCTTATGTGGTAGAAAAATTTTTGCAGAGACGGTAATTTAGAAACTTTTTTTCATCATAGAAAATTAAGAAAAGCTAATTCAAAATTTTCTATCGAGTATGTGTGTAAATTGTAAAAAAATATTATCCTAACATATTAAAATTACAATATTGATCATCTAACTTTTATTCCCAAAAATTATAGTAATGTATTATTGTTGTTATTATTATTTTTACATTTAATAAGTATAACAAAATTGTACTAGTAATTTCAACTGATCTGCACATCGAATGAAGCAATTTTTCATTATAATGCATAAAAAAACAATAAATTCATAAAAATCTTGTAGGAGGATCGGTTACGATTTTGAATCTTTGAAATTTTGTTTATTTAGGGAACAAAGATTCAAAATATTCAAGAGTTTTTTTTCGGCATCGGGGACCAACTTTTTCTCCGTTAAAGATAGGTGAGTGGCACACATAATAATATATGATTCTTTGAAACTGGAAAGTCTTGGATCCATGGTTATATCAACCAAAATTAATCCTCTGTATGAGAAATGCACGAGGAAGGTATGCAGATGATTTGAAACTGAGAATTCAAGAAAGAGCAGAAAACGAAGAAGCTAGAAAAAAGATGAATGATGTAAAACCTAAAGAAAAATAACTTAATGACAAGAAAGCCAAACTACTCTCAGAGATATCAAAATCGATTGCTTCAATTGCAGGCCATTCAATAAAGACAAAAAGTGCCATTAAATGTAAACAAGCTGTTCTAAACCAATTTCGGTAGTTTGGGGGGATAGTATGAAGGTCACATTATTTGCTCTTGATTTCCGGTTGCGGAAAATGTTATAAATAAACATCAAAGTTGGCGAAAGGTGGTGTTTTGATGTTCGTTGCTTTTCTCTACATTTTAGAGGAAAAAGTTGTGAAGAAGAAGGTGGGAGTTGGCGGTCGGCCCCAAGTTGGGCCAACCATGTGCTCAATCGGCCCACCTTGGGCCAACCGTTGGAGACGACGGTCGGCAGCCACAGTTGGGCCAACTGTGGCTGCCCTAGTTTTGCCGACTGTTGCACTTTAACTAGTAAAATCTACTACTTACATCTTGAGTTGTTTTAACATTTTTAAATTGAGTTAATACAATCACAAAATGTCATTCTACCAATTACATTTTTAATCGGTTTAACTATTTTTATATAGTTAATAGAACCGTTTAAATTCAGTTAAGGACCTATTGTTGTACTACTCAGAGTAGTTAAAAAGTGGTAAAACCTACTAGCTTTTTTCAGTGTATAAAATAAAAAATGTTACATTTAAAACTTTAGGAATAAAGTTATTTTTTCTAATTTCGGAATATATTATTATGTGTGCCACACACCTATATCTTTAACGAAGAAAAAGTTGGTCCCCGATGCCGAAAAAAACTTGAATATTTTAAATCTTTGTTCCCGAAATAAACAAAATCTTCGGCAGCCACAGTTGGACTGTTGCAGACCGTCGTCTCCAACGGTTGGCCCAAGGTGGGCCGACTAAGCACATGGTTGACCCAACTTGAGGCCCACCGCCAACTCGCACCTGGGGACCCACCATTTTGTAGTTATTTTTTAATCACAACTTTTTCCTCTAAAATGTAGAGAAAAGCAACGAGCATCAAAACACCACCTTTCGCCAACTTTGATGTTTATTTATAACATTTTCCGCAACCGGAAATCGAGAGCAAACAATGTGACCTTCATACTATCCCCCCAAACTACTGAAATCAGTTTAGAACAGCCTGTTTACATTTAATGGCACTTTTTGGCTTTATTGACTGGCCTATTGATGAACAGCAGCAGGACTTACGGAAATAGATAGTTTTTATTTTAGGGACCATACTTTAATTACGTAACGCTTCATAGGGGAGGGTGGGGGGTCAAGCTATTTGTTGCACACAGCAAAAAATTGCGCTAATGTATACAAAATTCTGATACATAGGGGGGGGGGGTCAATTTTCAAAGAAAAAGCGTTACGTAAATAAAGTATATCCCCTTATACTTGATACCAATTAATCAAACATGTTAAATTGTTTTGTTTTTAGAAAAAATAACTTTATTCCTAAAGTTTTAAATGTAACATTTTTTATTTTATACACTGAAAAAAAACTAGTAGGTTTTACCACTTTTTAACTACTCTAAATAGTACAACAATAGGTCCTCAACTGAATTTAAACGGTTCTATTAACTATATAAAAATAGTTAAACCGATTAAAAATGTAATTGGTAGAATGACATTTTGTGATTGTATTAACTCAATTTAAAAATGTTAAAACAACTCAAGATGTAAGTAGTAGATTTTACTAGTTAAAGTGGTTCAATAGGCTTTAAGAACATTTTTTTGTAGAATTAATAAATATTTTTTAATTAAAACTGCTACTTTAAGTAGTAGATTTAACTACTTAAAATAGGAAAATAAAATTATTTTTTATTTATAATTGTTTATTATCAGTAGAATTGACTTTTTTATCCTCTCTCCTATAGTGACGCTTATTTTATGCTCTAACGATTATGTACCTAACAGAGAAAATTTCTAACCGACGGTAATTGAACCCTTCGACCCTAACGTTCGCTATCCGATACCTTAACCGACTAACCACTCACGCTCGCTACGACAATCTGCAAACTACTCGAAGACTACTTTCTGGTAGTCCAATTGGTAATTTAACTATTTAAAGTAGTCATTTTTACTACTTTTATTAGTTGCTATAACTATCCTTTTTAAGTTTTGACTTGTAAATTTTTCATCTTTTAATTATATTATAAGTTGTTGAATTGCATAGTGCAGTAAAATCTACTACTTAAAGTGATAGTTTTAATTTGTAATGATCTGACTATGTTTCTATGTTTCGATTAATTTCAGAACTATTTCTTACTATGATGTAGAGGAGAGGCGTAGTCATTGACGAGTCTTTATTTAAACCTTCGAAAGAGAACATATTGTTTAAATAAAAGAATAATAAAATATACAAAAATGAATTATTACATAAAATAATATAAGAACGAAAGAATCTATACAATGCAAATAAAATACTAATCTCTAGAAAACATAACGAAGAAAGAACTAGCTTTTCTAGAGGAGCATTCGCTGAGCTCCGATCGCGCTCGTCATTAATCCAGAATAAAATGGATTTAAACATATTTACCACGCTCACGAAGATGTTGATTAGGATTAGGTCGTGCACGCTAGGTCCATTATTATTATTCGTAATCGGGAAGAAGCTAGATATTGGATTCGGTTCCAATATTCATGCCCGACGCAAAGCTAGTGCAAAGTAATATTCACTAGTTGTCTCCTCCACCCGAGAAGCGCCTCGAGATGGGGAATCGACCTAGTGCATCATCTTTGTCAAGAGAGGAGCGACTCTACTCGACAAGGACGGTCCTGGTGGAAGTGAGTGAGTAACCTGGTTCACCAGTCTTCCATGGAAGCGCCCATAGAAAGTCCGGTTCCCCAGGAGGAAGGAAGGCAAAGGGTGTTACTGTTTCGCAGGAGCGCCTACAGGAACAAGTACAGCTCCTTCTAGGAAGTAAGGAAGGCTACGGTGTTCAGAGAGACGCACCTCTACTGAGCACCAGGTAGCCAGGAGTGAGTCGCTTCCAATCGTCAGAGAAGCATCTCTAGACGAGTCGGAAGAAAACTCGGAAAAAAATAAGCGACATCGTGTTTCTATAGAAGGTTTTTGATGACTATACATTCTTAATAGCATTCTCTTTCTATTTGCAAAGTTTGAAAAATGTTTCCCGTACCGTAAGAAACATAATTAATATCAAAGTTGTAAATGTATGTAAAGCGTTAGAAATACATTGACAAACTTTGCGATTGTATATGCAAAAAAATCATTTCCGTAAAAAAGGCAATATTTACCGCGTTAATAAAGTAAAAAATAAATATTTAATAACAAAATATGCATTTTCAGCATGAAAAATGAAGCAAAAATTACCTTTTTTACAGAGAGAATTACCATGTTTATATTTATTTAGTAACGTGGAAGAAATTTACGTATTATAAAGTACACAGAAAAAACCTGGTCTCAAAATGAGTATAGCGTACGCTACATATATTCAAGTGCAACAAAAATGAGCCAGGTTGGAGGCGCCTCTGTCTATGTCTTTGGCTCATTTTGAGTTGCAACAAAAATGAAAATAGTTTTTTTCTGTGTGTATTTTAAATATTTTTCACTGTAGTAAAAAATTGAATTCATTACCTTCTTCATTATTGTTATTTGATCATCTTCAATTTCGTGTGCCTGATTTTTTTTTTGTCAATTTTCATTTTCCTCTTCAAGCTCTAATAGCAGAGCAAGATCATCTACTCCATTTGCGAAATCTGTTTTATAAAATTAAAATATGTTTATTAAAATGCAATGATGTAAATATATTTGTAGAACATTTAACATTTACAATCTTATTTAATTAACTCGCAAACAGGCAATCTATTTTTCGAACGATAACGGGAAACCAGGGTCTGACGTACCCTCCTGCATTTGTACAGAGCAGATAGAAATATCAGTTTATTTGTCTTAACGAAAATGACAGTTCATTATAAAAAACTAACTTTTTTAAAACCTTGACAGTTAATTTTACAGCTTTTAATTATCAAATTTTAAATTTGACATGAAATTCGTGATCCCTGAAAACCATATTATACTGTAATTTTCATTAAGGAGAGATTACGGCGATTTATTCAAAAAATCGAAGGATATACTTCCGAAGTAGAGGTACCCCCAATTTTAATAAAGCTTGGTATACTAACGTATTTTGGTGCGCTGATTACGAAAATGATAGTGAAAATTTGCGCAAATTTGATTATCATGGTAAAAACCATAAAAAAAACCCATAAAATCATGGTTTTTTCGATTAACTTATAAAAAACGTAAAATTACGAAAAATGTTTTAGATAAAAGTTGTAGATCTCAAAAAACCACACATTTTATGTTCTAAACATTTTTTTACCAAAAGTGAATACTTTTTCGAGAAAAATCCAAAAAACAACAAAAATCATAACAAATGATGGAGAACAAACTCTCTAAATCTGAATTAGCGACTATTCGCTTATTCCTAGCGCAGACTATGCAGCTGGGAATAAGTGAATAATCACTCATTGAAAATTCGCTTATTACTAGCGAATAGTCGCTATTTTAATCAGCCCATAGTATGCAGCTACGAATAAGCGAATAGTCGCTGATTCAAATTTAGAGAGAATGCACATCATAACTATAGAGAAATTTGGTACTTGTAAGTATACTTATCGTATTTTGATGCGCTAATTACGAGAATGATAGTGAAAAATGGGGTAAATTTAATTATCATGGTAAAAACCATAAAAAAACACCATAAAGTCATGGTTTTTTGCGATGATCTCGTAAAAAAAGCAAAATTTCAAAAAATGTTTTAGACAAAAGTTGTAGGTCTTAAAAAACACACATTTTATCTCCTATACATTTTTTACCAAAAGTGATAATTTTTCGAGAAAAATCCAAAAAACCATAAATAACATAAAAAATGATAAAAAAATAGTACGGACAAAGTCGGGTGATATCCACAGCAGTATTTCACGTAACCTGATGAACGCGCCCTTCAGCCGCGTAAGTTACTGCTCTGTTTATATTTTAAAGAAACCTTGGCGGGGTGGTTTAGATATGGCCTAAAGTATTCTACGGACAAAGTTGGGTGAAATCATTAGTACCAGTCCACACGGAAAGAAACTTTGTAGCAATATTTGATATTACGGTGTTACTTTTTAGTAATAAAATATTTATAACATTTATAATAATCAATAACTGTAAATATAAGAAAATACAAGACGGGTTTCAAGCAGAGGCCCGCACGCATATTCGGCCCTGGCGCAAGGAACGGGAGAAGTAGCGAGGATGCAAGAACTAATCTTTGACGCTGAGTTGTGTAAAAACATGCTCTGACATTTTTCAACTTATCTCAAAGACGAAACAATATTTTTTAAGTCTTAAAAATTACTTTTAAAGCTAAGATCTTAAAGATTATGTTGTAGGAGTTACAAATTTTTCCTTGCATTTTCCTAGATTATGCAGGGAATCAAAAACTGAGTACGAAATTGGGAAAATTAGACGTTTTTTTTCGAAATCTTTCCAGTGTTATAATCGGTCCAGAAAGTCGAAAAAAATATTATAGTTATATATTCAGAAGCAGAATTTTATCAGCTTTCAGGTGATCTAAGTTTAAAGTCTCTAGCTTTTCTCAAACTTAAAATATCTTAATTTAGCTGCACAGAACGTTTCTTATCCCAGTAGTCCGCAGCAAGTAGGTTCATCGTATTTTAAGGTGAACCGAAAATGCGGTTTATTTGGGATAAATAACGAGGCAACACACATTCAAACAAATATTACAATAGACAAAGAGGATATAATGGGGAAAGGTGCGAATGCAGTCATCAGCATGTTAGATTATTTTTTTAATAATAATCCTACAGAAAATCTTATTTTGTTTGCTGATAACTGCGTTGGACAAAACAAGAACAACGCACTTCTCCATTATCTCCTCTGGAGAGTTATGGAAGAAAAGAACCAATCAATTGAGTTGAATTTTTTTGCTTACCAATCATACCAAATTTTCGCTTGATCGAAATTTCGGAATTATAAAAACAAAATTTGGAAAATCGATTGTTGATTGTCATGAAGACTTCATTGAAGTCATTGATGCATCTTCGCCAAATAAATTTAATATTGCTGTGCCTAGCAAGGACCCACAAACTAAAATACGCAACGTTTTTTGGGCTCAGTGGGACATTTATTTACAACAATATTTTAAGCCGATACCGAATATAACGATATACCACCATTTTAAGTTCTTCAAAGACGGTTCAATAAAGGGAAAGCTTTTTGCAAATTCTGAAGAAGTCGAACTTCGAAAAGCCACATCGAAAAATGCAGAAAGCTTGCCATTAAACTTCATTGAACCTAAAGGAATAACAGCGCAAAGAGCCTGGTATTTATTCAAGGAAATTAGACCTCTTTGTTATAAAGAATCCTCTAAAGACCTTCTTGCTCCGCAGCCAAACATGCCAGAAGTAATGATATCAAAATCGAAACCAAAAACTAGATTATCAAAGAACGCTGAAAAATCATCAAAAGATGTTATCAATGAAAACCCGAAAGCTTCAACGGCAAGAAAAAATCATCCGAAGATGTCACTGATAAAAAACCAAAAACGCCAAGGGCAAAAAAAAATCAAAAATCCCCGGAAGATGCCATTGTCGAAAAACCAAAAAGCTCAAGGGCAAAAATAAATAAAAAAATCATTTGAGGATCTCATTGATGAAAAACCAAAAACTTCTAAATCGAAAACTCCAAAAGCAAAGAAACCCAGGATTGTTTAAGAAAAAAAAGACTTAAAACGCAAAAGAAAATTTTTATTGTAAGTTTTAAGTGTATCGAAGCGTAAAAATTATTTTTTATACGATTTTAGTGTCCCGGTTTCTTTTCCTTCTTTTTTTGTTCGAGAGCTGTTACGAGTATACATTTTTTAAAATATATTTTAAAAATTTTGTTAAATTAGAAAATTTCTTATGTTTCTGCAGGGTGTCTAAATTGCGATACTAAACTTAAATTTTAGTTTTCATAAATCAATTTTTAACCCGAAGTAAGAAGCTTACGATGTTTAATTATAATTTAAAATTGCGAGTGTGTAAGTTATTTGAATGAAAATCAACAAAATGTGTTATAATATTCACAACTTATAAACTAAAATGTCAATTTCAGAATATTGGTACAATTTTCTTATTTTTAAACAAAAATGTTTAAAGAAAGAATTAGACTATTAAAAAATGTATTGTAAAAAGTACCTGATGGTTGTATTCAATGTATATGATTGCAAGTTTATCGTGTTAAACCTGAATAATTATTTTACTGAATTACTGAAGTTGAGTAATAAATAGTCAAGTTATGAAAAAGTAGAGTATTACCTTGTTTAAACAATGTATTTTTATGTGTTCTGATTCCAAATATTAAACCAAAGTTGTTGATTAGTGACTGAAAAATTATTTTTCGTTCAGAAAATCACGAATAAAATAAATATTGTAATTTTATATGTTACTCACAAAAAAAAAATAAAAATATTATATTTTTCTTGTATATGACATATTCATTTAGCTCATTATTAATTAAATAGTAAAATATAATTTTGTTTCACAATTTTATAGATACATGACTTAAATTTTTTTCTTTCAGATTCAAATATCTTAAAAACTTATTAAAATACGTGCGTTATATTTTAATATCAATTAAGTTATGACGTTAAAATTAATTTTAAATTAATTAAAACGAATTTTAGAAAATTTAATTTAATTTCCAATATTATTTGTAGAAATTCGTATATTTAATTAATTTTGCTATGATAACTAATAAATATAATCCTATTAATATAATAGTGAACTGTTATTTTTAAAAAATTAAATGTGTATGATATACTATATTAATAATATATTTTTATGTAATTTATTATTATTATTATTATTATTATTTATCAAACCATAAATAATATTGTAAAAAATAATTTTTAAAAATATGGAAAGCAAAAAGAATTTTATTCTTTACTCACAGTTGGGTATTATTCAAACACATAAAATTTCGTAGTTTAGTTTTAAAAAATAATGTTTGTTTAGATTTCATTTTCTAAAATAAAACAGTGTAATATCAATATTTAATTTTTTATTGATTATTAGCCAAAAAATTTTCACAAATTATTAAATCATATCCAGAAACTTATTCTCTTATAAATATTTAATTTGTTGCTCATGACAAAATCTGAAAATTATCTGTAAGTAACTCGTAAATCAATAATTGACTTTATAGAATTAGAAACTGATTCAAATTGGTTAAACTTTAACTACCTTTTTTATATGTCCATAGAATTATTTTCTCTAATTATTATTCATTACCTATTTAATTTTTTTTTTCAGGAAAATTTAAAATTAAGTTGACGTACTGTCTCTACTTTTTAATTAAATTAAAAACCTGTCAATCAGGTGAAGTTATTCTAATGAGAATGTAAATAAATGTATTTATTCTTTTATTTACTATTGAATAGTTATAACTATTGAATAGTAAATAAAACAGTAAATAAATTTTAAAACATAAATTTCAAGCCCATTATACAGGAGCCGCACCTGTTACATTTGCCCTGGGCGCCATTTCGTCTACAGGCGGCCCTGAACAGACCCGAAGATGCGCGAAGCGAGCCGAGCTCACTTACACAGTGAGTTTGGTAGTAGTAGTAAAGTGGTGGGGCAGGTTTTCATGACACCACAAATCGTCGCGAATTACATTTGACATGCCTATCTTTAATGCTCTGTATTATTAATAATATTTAAGTTTTACGACTTCTGTTTTTTGCATATAAAAGAGGAATTAAAAATCTATCGATTGGCATTAAAAATTAAAAATCGACTTTTTTGACGATAGGTCTCTTCTTTTCGTGGAGCGTCACATATGGATTTGAAGAGAATTTAGGGCTCAATTATGACTAATTACTTCTCAAAATCAAAAATTTACCGCTCTTTATTTTTTTTAAAGGCGGTTGGTGATACCTTAACGTTAAGCTGGCACCACCCGCTTAAAAACCCAAATAAATAAGGAGATATTTAAAATTCTACCATGCCATAATTTAAGGCTATACTTTTAAATGATACCGATAAATTTATTTTGTAATACAGTAGTAGAAAATAATGTCATTTTTATCACTTCATCCTCTCTTACTATTGGTTTATTGTATAAATAATTATTATAATGTTAAATTTTACAAACTAAAGTTTCTCCGTGTTCACAGTTAATTCGAAAAAGATAAATTCTACATTCTTTAACTCTATACAAATAATTATTAATGTCATTAATTTAATAATGTAATTATTAATAATAATTTGTGTAGAGTTAAACAATGTGCAACATACCTTTTTCGAATGAAACTGTGTAAAGTTAAACATCTTCTTTTTAAAAATGCTTGTTTAGCATTAAACTGTATACAGATAAACGCAAATAAAAATTTTAATGTATCGTAATTGTCTGTGTACATTTAAACCGTGTAGAGTTGAACGAATTATTATTTTTAAAATTGACTCGTGTAGAGTTGAACTGTGTAAAATTTAACTAGGGGCAATTAAACTGTATCGAATTTAACATTATTTAATGCTATAAACAGTTAAACTATGTATAGAATTAACTGTATAGAGTTGATCTATGTACAACTAAATTGTGTACAACCGATACCACGCCAATTTTTGGTACTAAAGAATGAAAAGTTGATTAATTAACTATTTAATCGATTTACATTCCAAAAAGCTAACAAAAATCGATTTTTTTTTTGTTTAAATTAAATTTAATTAGTTAATAAATATTTTACATTAAATAACTAATTTTATTAGATATTAAATTCATTTAATTAATTCTTTAATAAAAATAATTCTAAAAGAATATTATCAAGAAAATTTATTTTGAATATTTCAGAATCGAACTGAGATAAATTTTCAAAATTTTAATTAAGTAGTTCAAACTTTTAAAACATTGTCAAATTCAATTTTTTTAATTTCTTGAAGTCTGATTCAAGCAATTTTTTCAAATTAAAATTTTTTACATAGTTTCTAATTTTAAGACAAAAAAGTTTCGGACAATAATTAAATTTTACAGATTTTTAAATTAAATTGTAGAAGATTTTAAATTTGAAATAAATTTTCTGCAAATTTAAACTGCTATAGTTTTTTTTTTTAACTTTATGACAACAATTTAATTTTAGAGTTTTTATTTGGAACTTTTTTAAATAAAAAAATTTTGGAAGAACATATGACATTTTTAGAAAATATTGAATTTCAAATAATTTTGTTAAATTTCAGAAAATAATTAAATTTTACAGAATTGAAAAATAATTTATAAAATAATTTTAGATAACATTTTTTAAAAGTAATTGAAATTTCAAAGATTTACAATTCAGATTTTTGAAAATAATAATTGAATTTCAAGTGATTTTTGATTTAAATTTTTAGCAATTTCTGTTGCAAAAGAATTTATTAAAAAGTACAGCCGAAAATTAAACTTTAAAAATTTTTAATTAATAAATGCTTTCATAATTGAATTTTTGAAAAATATTATAAAAATCATTAACCCTAGCATGGAAATACGATTATTTTACTCTCTAATAGAAAACAGATTTGAAACATTTGTAAAAGGTTTCTATTTTATTGAAAAAAAGGTTTAGAATAGTGAATTTTTTTTGTTTTTTTAGAAAGGAAGACGATGGTACTATTCATTTTTTAATAAAGTGAAAAGAAATGTAAAAAAAGTTGTAAAAACGAACTATAAAAAACAGAAATTTCTCAAAATTGACATTTTTTTCTGCATAGGCCAAATTTAAAGTGGAAAAGATACGCAAAAGTGTCACTTTTTTAGCTAATAGAAATTCTCGGTTCGCGAGAAAAACCCAACTTCAAGTTAGAAGAACCACGTTCCGATTAGAAGAAAATACACAGTTTTAACCTGAAAAAAGTGAAAATTTTAAACACTTTTATCTCTTAAACTAGATTCGGGACCAAAACGAAACTTTCGGTGCGTGTAAATTTCGGTGTGATTTAAAAGTTGTGAAAGTGGCAAATTATTTGATTTTTCTTTAACGGAGATATTAATTTGCAAAGTTCGGAAAAATTCGGAGATCGCGTACTTTTAACTTAATATCCCTAATAACACAAGATATCTTGGGATATATTGATAATATCCCGCATATATCCTAGGGATGTCCTATGGATATCAAAAGGATCTCTTAAGGATATCCAAAAAAGCGGCGGTTTGGATATCCCATGGATATCTTAGGATGTCCACAGGATATCTTCTGGATATCTCTATAGATTTTCATAAATGTCCTCCAGATATCCCATAGACATCGTCAGGATATCCCACAGATATCATCAGGATATCCTATAGATATCGTCAGGATATCCCACAGATATTTTCAGGATATTCTCAGTATATCTTCTGGATGTCAAGAAGATATTCTCAGGATACTGTTTTTAAAGTCATTATGAGACTACGAGTGAGAATATTCTGTGAATTAAATTTTATATAAATAAAATAAAATGCAACTTGTTTTTCGAGAAAGTTGTTTAATTTGAAAAATTATTAACTAATTTTTTTCTCATTCGTGATTCATTCCTTTATTCATATGCTTGTCAGAAAATAAATTGGCTTTAAACAATATAAATTCTTCCCCGCAAATAACGAATAACTATTAATATTAATTATACATTAAGTGCATGAGTTTATTTAAAAACTTTGAAAAATGCGTTTCAAATCTTCATTTAAAATAAATTAGAAGCTCATAAGATTTTTGTTTTTATTATATTATTATTCATTATATTAGCTTAACAATTTTAACCTTTAAAAATATATGTTGAGATATTAAATATCCCGTGAATATCCTAAGAATATCCCACGGACATCATGAGGATATCCCATGGATATCCTGAGTATATCCCACGGATATCCTGCGATATAATACCCAATAGATATTTTGCAGATGTCTTAGGAATATCCTATGGATGTCCCACAGACCGGCGGTTTGGATATCCTAGGGATATCCTATGGATATCCCAAGATATCCTAGGGACCATTCTAGGATATCGACCATTGATATGGATATCCTTTTGTTATGAGGGATTTATTGTATATTTAAAGTAAAATTAATTACAACCCTGTTGAAAATTCCTATGTGAGAACACATATGGGATCCCATCCAGGATCTCTTGTGAGTTCTTATGTGGGTTCCCGTACAGGTTCACACATAAGATCCTGTATGAAAAGGTTCCTGGGATGAACTTGCGTGAGATCAAGCGCACGATCTTATGTCTCTGTAAAAGCAATAACACAGGATCCCATGAGGTTTCCTGTGTAGGTTCCTATATGAACAACACGATAAATAGGAACACACATGGGATCTTATCCGAGATCTTGTATGAGTTCTTACATAGGTTCTCACATATAAGAAGATTAAT